ACACACACACACACACACACACAAGCATCTATCCATGAGTGGTGTTTGAAGGTTTCAACTCCCTCCTCTTGAACTTTATATGCAGTGCTTTAAGGCCTTTTTTTTAAAGCAGATATTTGAACTCCCCATAGCAGGAAAAGCACAAGTGTAACTAATAACATTAATGGTGGCTCTGTTCCATTTTAAGTGTTTTATTAAGCCGTGCCGGTGATACAGCATGCGCAGGGACCAGAGCCCTGAAACTGGCACACACAGAAAAACAATCGAATGCAGCAATTAGTGATGTTATTAGCTGCACCTGTGTTTGGTGTCTGCTGTAAGAAATGTGAAATAAAGCGCTCTTACATGTAATCAGACCCTCGGACAGTTCTGGCCTCCAGTCTGAAAACCAGGTGCATGTCGTTGGTTTTGGAATGTGTTAATGTAATGGAAAGGAAAAGCGAGTAGGAGACCAGTTGTTAATCTGTGTGTGAAAGAATAGGTCTTTCCTCACAGCAGACACTTCATAGCAGGAAAAGCGCAGGTCAAACTAATCTGACCCCTCCCAGTAAACCATGCCAGTGAGCCAGCATGCCCACTACCTGGACCCTGGGACTAGCTCACCTGAATGGCATGCACTTGATTTTATCGGCATCAACTTGCCCGATTTGGATTCGAGGCTGGTGGGATCCCATTGCAAGGTGGTCTCTGGTTAAAATTGGGTTTTAATTACCTCGGACAACGTAAAGCATCCATGTTTATGTTTTATCAGGAAGTTCTGTGATAGTTAGAGCCAAGTTGTCTATTGCAGCTTTAATGTTGACGTGAACACTATTCACAGTTCCGAAACTGCTAGTTGCTAATTTATGACATAAAGGTGCCATCAGGTTATAGGTTGCCGGTGCTATGCTGGAAATGCAGGAGTTCACCAGATCCCATATGTAAATACGAAAGACAAAGGAGGGATTTGTCAATAATCTAAGAGGCTGAGGTATAGATGTCAATCAAGCACAGGCAAAGTAATGAAACTGTCCTGTGTGGGTTTACCATGGGTGTGCGGGGCCTTTGAGCCTGGTCTAGAGTACTACATCAGGTACCAGAGGCAGTTTGAGACAGGTAGTGGAGAGAGGAAAGAGGGGAGGAGACCGTGATGGAGAGGAAGGAGACTCGGATTACGAGGGCAGCTGTGTCTCTGCTCCTCCATCACCTGGAATAACAGCTGGTGTTTCCCTAAGTTTCCCTCTTCTTCCTTCCTCTTTCCTGTCCTGTCCCTCCCTCCCTCCCTCCCTGAGCAGCCTAATTTACCCTACATCTCATTTATATCTCATTACAGCTGAGCCAGCCTCTGCAACCCTTTACACACTCAGACCACACTGAGTCACACTGACATGCTCCTCTGGGCTCGAACAGTACGTGCTGTCACCCAAAGGTGCAGCCGGTCCAACAATCGACATGTAATTATTACATAATGCATCAGTAATGCAAATGTTAATAAATTCAAAACTTGTTCTCCTCTCCCAGATGGACAGTAGAAATACTTTTGATGTGTTTCTCTCTTTACATATATTACTCACAGGCTTATAGTTTCCACCCATGCAATTTATTTTTACTTCACTCTCTCCAAACAAAACATATATATATATATATATATATATATATATAAAGTAGGAAGAGATCCACTCAAACTCTCTCCCTCTTACTTGCCTCTTTTTCTCAGTTTACAACCAGTAACGAGGCCTAAGAAGCTCAAGGTTAGCCACGAACAACGCCACGATATTTGATAAATTCGGCTTTTATAGACTACTCAGCTCTGTATAAGATGTACTTTGTGCTAAACATGGCATCTGCACGCCTCTTCCTCTTTTCTTTTTGCTTCATGACACTGCTGTGAGCACAAAGCTTCTCGGGCAAACACTTTCGCCTGATGTCACACGTCTAATTCTGTCGTGTGGGACTTGTTACCAGAGCACCTTGTGCCTCTGCAGTAATCCATGTGGATTAGTTATTGATTCTCCATCATGACTGAACATCATCTGTGTCTCCTTTTTTTGTTTCACCTCTAAACAACAGGGGAGAGGGAGAGTTTACCGCCACCGTCTTTGTCCTCTTCCAGTGTGTTTTTGTACACACCAACGATTGGCCACATGCTTCCTGCATGTAGCTCTAAGTGGGTTTTTATGTCTCACTTTCAGGCTCATTCATTAAAAGAGACTGCCTGAGCCGGAGTCCTTTCATTACACATTATAATTTTGCCTCCGTTTCATCCACTGCTAGCCTGGAATGTGTGTTTTTTTCCCCACGGTCTTTCCCTGCCTCCAGCCAAGCGGATTTATCCAGACAGACAGCTGGATAAACAGACCACTGTGGGCAGAGCCTTGAACACTCTGCAGCCTCACGAAGTCGGGTTCACGTCACCAGTGAGGACAGTTTTATTTCTATAGATGGACCGGCCAGTGGTTGTGTGTGTGTGTGTGTGTGTGTGTGTGTTAGTAAGTTATTATTACATGTTTGTGTTAGCAAAGTGTTTGGATAGAGGGAGAAATTTGGACTCAAGGCCACAAGCATGAGTCAAGTTTCTATGTACTTTATGGTAAAAGGTGCACAAAGTATAGAGGAGTTGTGATGTCTGCTCTGATCCATAATCTTTGTACGTATGGCAGCGATTGCTTTCTCCCCCATTTGTTTCCTGTTAAACGACATTTTCCTCATCTGAGTCAAGGGTCTGACGATACAGGGTGTCGTCTTTTGGACAGATTGTAAATCCATCTGAAGCAAATTTGTGTTTTGTAATTCTGACCCAGCCCAAGCTGTCTCCTCCAAAAACAACCCTCAGGACATGAGAGGGGAAACCCTGTGAGGATTGAAGAAGAGACCCCGCCCCTCCTCAGAGAGCAAGTTGGGGGAAATTACAATAACTGGAAAAATGAACTTGCAATATTTAACAGAAATACAAAACGACTCCAATAATAATACAGTAAATGGAATAGAATCTCCCCGAGTTTTTAGTAAAATGTCTGTTCGTCACACTGCACCATAGTCCAAGGTGTCAAGTAAGCGACGGTGTGTCGGTCACAGTTACCTTGTTGGGGAGCTGTTGTAGCTGGAAAGGTGGCGACGAGCCTCCTCATCCAAACAGCTCAGGGGAGAAGAGCAACACCGAGTCCTCGGAACAAACTAGTTCCAAACTGTGTGAGGCGAGGAGCTAGACCTCAGGACACTGAACTTAAGGAATCTGTCAGGCGCTGCAGCGATGTCGAGCATATCTCTGGAGGAACAATGTTGCGTATCGATTGCATGTCTGCCCTCTTGATAGCTGCAGGCTGCAGTCTGGGTTTTTATTGTTATGATGATAATGTGCATTCTCAGTGTCAGTTCTAATGATTAATGCTATTCTGCAGACTGTGTTCCCCAGTGGAGAGCACAGCATAGGGCTTGTTTAAGTCTGTGAAACCCCAAGATGTGAATAGTAAGGTGAACCTCTGTTTAATTGTCCAGACAGACCAGAGACACGTCCTGTGGTTGTGGGAAACTTGAAAAAGGCCCAGCAGGGCTTTCACCTCTGCTCAGAGAAAGTTATGGTGAATGATCCAGGTTTCAGAAATACCAAGAGATTTATTTATCTATTCTCTAAACAAGGAGTTCGGTTTCAAATGGATCCAGTTACTTTTGACTGAATGTCACCAATAGTAACATCCCTGACTACATAAATCAATTTAGCTAATGCTCAGCCAAGCCACAACGACAAGCGAAATCCCCAAATGTGTTTTATGACATGATGGATAAGTCATGTCTTACGGTTAGCAAGCCCCAAAAACCCGAAAAGTAAAGTCCCAGGTACAGTGT